CTTTTAAGGTTTTGAAGCTAGCATTTACCTCCAAATAATATATATATATTTTGACATTAGTTGTACAATAAAAGACAACTACCTTTCATCTTTTATTTTATTCCACTAACATATCATACGACTCGAATTCAAAATCTCTTATTTTTAGTGGAAGGAAATGATCACTAAATTATTTAGGTGATTGGCCCAACTAATATTTTTTTAATTACTTTTTTTAAAGAAAACAGGAAACCGTTTCTTTTTTTTTTTTTTTTATTTAATTTTTTGGACCAAGGTTTCTTTTGCACTTTGGTAGGCCAAAAAAAAATCTCGGGCCAGTGCGGCTTTAATTTCAATCCCAGTTGGTTTTAAGAAATTAACGGACCTAGTCTCAAAAAAAAAAAAGAAGTAATGGACCTAGACTATTTTTTAATGTGGGCTTTTTACGAGATTCTGAAATTAATCTGGGCCGGGCCTCACACTAAGTTTTGCGCTTGGTTTTATATTCAAACCCAAATTATAACAAAGCAAATTTTCGTTGATGGAAAATGATACAACACGATGTTATATGTTATATGTTCGAACAATAGTACTCAACCCTCTTACATCATATTACTCATTTTAATCACATAATGTACCAGTTGTGATGCCACAGTATCAAAATCAAGCAATACCAAGCAAGGAAAACCTTGATAAAAACGCATCATGCATTTAATGCATTTTATGGGAGGTCTTTTCTCTATTACTTTTGGTCACTTGAACCAATCCATACGTTGTTGATTGATTGATTGATGAATATAACTCCAAGTTTGAAAATTATCAATTGAACAGTCAGTTTTCAAGCAATACCAAGCTGTTTACAATTGAATAGCTTAGGTATTTTTACCCACTTATTACATCTTCAAAACGAAACAAAGAAATTTTTTGAAAGAATCGTAAGAAAAAACATTGATATTTTGCAATAATTAGTTCATCATGCTGAAGAATTCGATTTAATTTATTCATATCAACCCATCTGCATAAGGCACTCCCGTAGCAGGCAACCAAGCATCTCCCAACAGGAAATTCGCCACTGTAAAATTAGCAGCGTCGGTAGCATTGATCACATGGTAACCGGGCCATGTGACTCGGGCAGTGGTATTCGAACCGGGACCGGTGTTGTTATACTCTGCGTAGTAAAGGGTGCTCAAAGCAAAATCTCCGTCCCATGCCATCCAGCCTGCTGGGTTAATGAAACTGTCCATGAAAGATTGCATGTACACAGTTCTGGAATAGTTCTTCCAGGGCCTCCCCAGGTATGTCTGGAAGGTTGTATTGCTCGAGGCCAAATCGTTGGCAGCTTTGATCTTACAGTTAATAATTGAGGTGCCTGTGTTCTGATTTGGGTCAGTCCGGCCTTGTGCAGTGATGGCGTTGAATTGACCGTCCATGGGGCGGCGAGGATAGAGGTTGCAGTTCTGGAAAACGACGGCAGCGTTTCCGAATATGAAGTCAACTGTTCCGTAGATGTCGCAATCTCTGTAGAATTGTCGTAGAGAATGAGTGTACAAAGTGTCTTGGTACCCTTCAAAGCTGCAGCTGTAGAATGCTGACAAATCGGCACCGCTGCGGACCGCCACCGCCTGGTGCTTGATTGCCCCTGCTGTGTTGCGGAAAGTGATGTTTACCGCCACGAAATTTGGCGCAACCACAGCTGCCAAAAAAGATTAGGAAATTTGTAAGATGGAAGCACATTTTTCTTGAAGGAAAAAAGATAGAAAAATTTTCTTAATTTTTTCCTTAATTTAATGTTGATTGACTTGATTATTCCTTATTATTCTAATCCTTACCAAATGTGGCGGAGTTAAACGTCGTCCACCCATCAACGAAACTACGGTTTCCGGTTATGATGGTTTGATTGATACCATCACCCATCATCATTAAGTACTTCTTGTTCTTAGCAATGGAGACATATTCTTCATACACACCAGCTTTGATATAAATCAAGAAGTACCCATTTGCGCCGTTGGTGTTGTTCGGGGCTGCACCCAGGGCGTCGTTGATGGTAGTGAAATTTCCACTACCGTCTTGACTCACCACCACAATGTCACTAACCTGAACCGGATTATTAAAATTTGTCTGAAGAAGCTTTCTCCTGTTCACCGTCTCATAAATGGCTTGTGTCCGGCTAGACATCTTCAGTGGCAGACGTCCGTTCTGGAATGCTAACTGTTTATGGGTAGGCTGCCATGTCAAAACTTTCTTCTTCTTCGGAACGAAGGCTTTGGTGACAAGAGCTAAAGAGACACTGTAGAGTTTTGTATCGTTTGACATGGGGACAGCAAGGCCATTCTTGATGCTCCAAGCGGATGAAGTGGCTTGGAGACCATCGAGGCAGGTTTGTTGGTTGGTTAAGATTGCACTGAGCAAGGTCTGAACGTCTTCAGCTTTCGTGGCAGAGAGGGTTTGTGTGGTGGTATTGACAGTTTGGAAGGAGGTCATTAGGAAATCCATGTTGAATCCGGCAAGCAATTGACAATCCTGGAGAGCACGGATCGCAGATATTGATAAAGTAGAGCTGTACTTTTTGAGGTACTTGTCTACTAAGAGGTAAAATTTCGAAGATTGTGACAAGGACTTGCGGACAGAGAATCGGCCGTAGCCATAGGCATTGGTGGTGGTCTGGTTAGCGAGGACGGATTTACAATAGGCAGGGTCTGGGGTGGATTGGCATATGGTACCAGGCGAGACGGTGGTGTTAGGTGAAGCAGCTTGTGCAAGAGATGGAGAAATGAAGAAGAAGAAGAATAAGATGAGGAGAATGGGCATTGATGATGTCACAAAAGAAAGATGTTTGAAGTCCATATTGGTTTTATTGAAAAGGTTAAGAGGGTTTTGGTGGGTTTTGTGTTTGTGGATTTGGTGGTATATATATACAAGAGGAGGAAGGATTTTAGCTTCTGCTAAAATGAATTATTTAACATAAAAATTAGGCTACTATGGAGAATTTTGAGGAGAGAGACTTGCGTCTAGAAAATTGTCTGCAATGTCAACTTTTTCCAAAACGCGTTTGTTCTAGTCTTGAGTTCGGTGTTCTAACTTTCAATGCATAAGAAGGCGATGCAAGCTGTTTTTCCCATTCCGAACGGGTCAGGTCCACAATTGAATGAAATTGAATGATGGACCCTATAAGAGAAGACAATCCTTTTTGTTTTCAAAATACATCAACTACACCTAATTTAAGGTTTTCAATATGAAATTTCTGTAAATAGAAATTTTAGAATTTTAAGTAATTGAACTACTCGAACATATGTGTGGCCAAAATCTAATTTGTATCAAAATGGTATTTTAGTATGTATATTTTAAAAAAAATGGAAGTTTTGTAGTATGATAATATCTACTCCAAAAGTGAACAAAATTGTAAGCGAACTTCCTGGCATTGGCAAAGCAGGAGAGAATCTTACTGAATGGACAAAACAATGACACAAGTTGTTTTTTTTTTCAAAAACAATGGAAAAATTGGTAACAGTAGTAGTCTTTTTTCCTGTGTCTGTCGGAGGGGTTACGTTGCTGAGCTGGATTTGGATTGATTTTGTCACATTAATGACGGCCAATTATTTAAAAAAAAAAAAGACTGAAAGGGCATCCATATTCAGTCAACACGCCAATAATATATTTTTTTTTCTCTGGGACTATATAAACCTAATGCAAGGAGGTCATTGGCTGCTAGCTAGGTTACTACATGACAAGATCTAACCAAAGAATGAACCAATGAATTGGTCATACAAAAGAGAACAAAAATATATATTGACTTCTACTACTATCATCAATATATCTTAATTTAATAAAATTAACGTACTATTTGGAACCCGAGCAGCATGTTTAGTTATAAACTATGGTCTAAAGAGGCTTAATAATATCTTAGATATGTTGTAAGAACGCTTTATATATATCTAGTAAAAACTGGCAAGATAAGATAAAATATACCATAAGAAACTCGCGCCACATGTTTAATTATAAACTAAGGTCTAACAAGGCTTAATTATATCTTAAATATGTTATAATAATGTTTTTATATATATAATGTTGTAAAAGCTGATAAGATAAAATGAAATTAATTGGGATTGAAATGTCAAAGCATTGTCGAGATATATACACGGGGATGGATTGCTTTAAATTTCTTCTTAAAATGACTTTTGGCTGGATGATTAATCCCCAGATGGGTCCACGAAAGGTGATAAAATTAATGCAATTGTATGTCTTTGAAGTTTGACCAAAGTTGTAGCACAAGGTAGGAGGGCATATTATAAGGTTTTCTCTGGGTTGAAAAGTTTCGATTAAGACGGTGGATCGGAGCCGTACTTTGCGTAAAGCACGAGGACTCAAGAGCATTATCCGATGAACCTTCCTCCAATCCACATTTACCATATATTTGGGTTGAAAACAATGAAAAGAATGGAGAAGAAGGAAA